ACTGCGTTAGGCTAACTGAGACTTGTCATTTGCACTTATATATTGTTGCTCTTTTGTTAGTTTTGACTGCTTTTATTGTCCTCATTTGTAAGTCGCGTTGGATAAAAGCGTCTGCTAAATGACTAAATGTAAATGTAAATATAGGCCTATTCTTATCTACTTGGTTAGAATTGGTCCAATTTGTAGTTAATCTCAAACAGTCTTGACTGGTTAAATTATAGCGTCTCAGATTCTCATTCCAACCTCTGTCTCCTGATGTTCTGAGCAATAGACCTGCTAGCACGCTTTCCCAGTCTGTAAAAAAAAACAAAAAAAACATTGGCACAAGGTATTCATAACTATTGCCATCCTGGCCAGACTCTCATCGTTCATCATGATAATGATGATAACTGCAAATTGCATTTCATCCTGGAGAGGCATTGTCTCAGCACATCAAATGCGGGATATCTCCTGGCCTAAGCTCAGTTTCACACTAATAGAGACACACGGCTTTATCTAAAAGCCTGCTGTCTTCCTCAATCTGGCTGCTGTATCTGCAGATATGGCCAAACTTCATTATTAGAATGTGCCCAAGTCTCCACAGGACGGCTCTCTCGACTCTCAGGACTTATTCTCACATCGTTTTTATCAATTTCCCTGTGTGTGCCCATTTCCTGTGCTCTGACTGATGATTCTCTGCTCACTTTCATTGGCTGGATTGTGCATCAGCTTCATTGGTTTGTGTTTTGGTAAAGCAGAGCGATTCAACCGTTTCCTCATCTTTGGTTATCCAGATGTCTCCTTTAAAGGAACAGTGTGAAGTACAATTTGTTGCATGTACTGCAACATGATGAATGATTTTATGTCTGGAGAAGTGTGAGAGGTTAAAAGTCATATATGGACCAGGTGGTCTTATACAGCAAGGCAGGGTATAAAATGGCAGGGTCATTTTATCCTTTGTAAAGACAGGGAGACTCATCAGCATCAGCGTCATTGAGGAAGAAAGATTGATTGATATGATCAATCTGCCTCATGAGCTGTAATCACAGTGAAAAGCTTCACACCCATCCTTCAAGCTCTCAATCTACCACCTGTGGAGAGGGAAATAGACAGAGCATAGGGAAGAAATTGAGCTGCACAGTGTATATATAGCATCTGAAAATATTCAGAGCAGTTTTGTAGAGACTTACACGAATTTTCAAAATATATGAATTGTATTGATTTAGAGCAGGGACTCCTAAATGGACAAAAAGACTAAATAAAATCCTGTCATCATTTACTCACCCTCATAATGCTCCAAACCTGTATTCCTTTCTTTCTTCTACATTACAGAAGATATTTTGAAGAGTCCTGGCCGAGGTCTGAGTAGGCTGAGTCTGAGTCTAAATGATTTTGGATCTATG